ACTGACTCCATCGACGCCAGGCTTGCCACTGTCGTGCTCCAAAGTTGAAAATTTTTCCCAAATGGTCGTGACGCCTAATCGAGGGACAGACTTATTTTGTCATGGTAGTCAGTCTGCAATGACAATAAAATTATAATATGCTCCTTTTTTGTAAGTTTAATAACCATTGATGACATAAAAATATGGCTTTATATATTTTGGCATGAATAATTAGTCTAAAAACAGCGTGAAAGTTGGAAAATGTACCCTAGGGACACGTCATGGTCGTGAATTTCGAGACTTTAAAAATACGAAAAAAATACCTAGAACCTATTTAAAACCAAATAAATGTGTGTAACATGTTGCCCCCGTCCCAAAAAATATTAAAACACATAATAATAAACTACAAATCCAGTATCTACGAAGTAAAAGGCCAGGGACATGAAAACGTACGTTTTTAAATTTTCACTCATTGACTGTTTACAATTAACATAAATTTTTTTTTTTTAACAAGTATTTATTTACAATCTATTCTATACTAGAATAATAAGTAAATTTAATAACCATTTTAACATGGGTTAGTTACACTCCATCAAGTGCACTAACATACAAAAACTTTTTAAAAGTTCAACTAAAAACGATTTGGAAGGTCTATTGGATTAACTCTTTTGAGCCTATATGTAGCTTCACTATTGTCGAGGAGGTTAACTGCCAGGAAATTTGGATGGGTTTCTAATTTTCTTTGGTATTTTTCACTTCGTTTCTTTATTTCTTCTTTAACATAGGGTAATTTTGTATCTTGATGAATTACTTTATTTGTGACAAACCAAGGTGCTTGTAAAATTTTTCTCAGTGTTTTCGATTGAAACCTTTGAACTATTTCTATGTTTGAGTTGGAAGTGGTTCCCCAGAGTTGGATACCGTAGGTCCAAATAGGTTTCAAAATAATTTTGTATAAAAGTAATTTATTTTCAACAGATAATTTTGAATTTCGACCAATGAGCCAATTTAGTTTGTTTGTTTTTAAATTTAAATGAAGTCGTTTGTTCCAAATGTGTGAATGCCATGTAAGCCGTCTGTCGAGATGCATACCAAGGTACTTAACTTCGTTGGATTGTGGAAGCATGACATTATTCAATGTTACTATACATAAAAATGCTCTTCTTCTCACTTTTGATTTCTGACAACAGCTGGAGTTTCATAACAGTTTTTGTTTCCAATGTTAATCTTATGGAGAAATACGAAACTTTAAAGGGCTCCAGGGCCTCACTCTCTCATTATTTCCCTAAAAAGAAAGTTTCCTGCACAACTTCACGTTACACTCTTTCCAATGACACCAAAAACATGACAATCGGTTCAGTATTTTCGGAGGAGTAATTGTCACAAAAAATCTGCTTGCGTATTAAATAAGTACTACTACGGTTACTTTCAAGTCAAGGCTTACGTTAATTCATCTAAATGCGATAGATGAAAATGCGATAGGGTGAAATATACATATTTTGAGCATTTAGCATTGTTTAAAGAGTAATAAGTGTAAAAACAATAATGATATTAATTGTGTTAGTTGCTAAACTTTGTTGATCATTCAATGAATAAATTATTTCCCATACCGTACGTCTTCAGAGTTATTATTAGTATGTTATATGGCATCTCTTCCTTTGGAAGAACCTTTAAATAGTATTAAAATCGTATTGGTAGATCTTTTGCAGTTAAACACTTCCGTGATTTCATCAGTGTAATATGATTTTATTTGAAAAATAAATATTTTTAGGGAAGACATATTCTAATTTCAAAGGGAGGTATATCCGTTACAATGTAAGTTTGATTTTTCCTTCGTCACGTCACGTCAGTTCATATCGTAGCCTACTTCTGTGCCAATGAATGACCCCTCTGGCACAGTTTTGACAAATTGGTTGTAGGGTTACTGTTAAAGCTGGAATTCCTTGACATGGGGGATGTCAGTTAGTTGTCTCGGCCTTATCAATAACATAAAGTTGTCAATATAATCTCTTTACAGAATGTTAGGTGTAATGTAATACTTTGAAGTTGGCTTTTATTCTTGAACTGTTAGGGGCCTCCTAGTTCATATGGTCTTGCGGCTTCATTGGCAACAAATAATGCAAATGACATAGCAATGGGACATTTCAAAAAGCAAAAATACTGTAAATTGGCTGTTACGTATATATTGAGGTTTACATATTGTTAATCAACGTATCTTATAAAGGATTATGTCATCTAGTTTAAAAGGAATATGACCTTTCTGTCATGAGAGTAGGTGCTTAGAGCTTAAATAGTATTTTCTCTTTGTACCATATTTTACAGCCAAAATGTCGTGTTACAGTATTTTCAATAATGTTACCAACCCAGTGCCAAAGTCCGTAATATAGGCAGGTGCAAATAATTTGTCAAGATGGGTACTATTTTAGGCAAGGTTTCTGTGTTTGGATTTTATTAGACACGATAAGAACAGATATTTCTACATAAATATTTGATATGTGTAAAATAATATGATAAAATGTAGGCAAAAGTGGTGAAAAAGGCAGACACCAACCCCGTACAATACATGGTGGAATGAAAAAACATAGGTGTGCTATTCCCACATATTCTGACATCACTCGGATTGCAAACAAAAGATCACCTGATTGTAACTGTCAAATTAGTATATGTATTTGTTTTGATTTGGTTGTTATTGTTTTTATTATTATAAAAACAAATACATACTAATTTGACAGTTACAATCAGATGATCTTTTGTTTGCAATCCGAGTGACGTCAGAATATGTGGGAATAGCACACCTATGTTTTTTCCTTCCACCATGCGTACAATAGATATAAGATAGTTCAAAGAGAAATAATTTAAGAATTGCTGTTATAAAAGGATTTTCCACTGATTTCGTAATGGAACGTTATATTGCAAAACATAACATGATAAAGAAGAAAATTAATTTTAAAATCAGAAAATAACATTGCCAACTACTTATTTGGTAGAATTCAGTAACTCTCAATAAATGTGTATTGTTTGAAATACAGTTAAAAAATGAACAGCTGTTTTATTAAAAAAGTATTATTCACATGGCCAAAATGTAAACAACTCTGTGGAGGGATTTTTAAAGGCTTCTGGAGCAGAGTCCTAAGGGATTTTGCTTTGTTTTTCTTTTAATAACTCATCTATACTTTATACTTATACTTTTCTTTACAGACCAAGACCTTTCTTTGGACACCCCTACCAAGTTTCTACGCCCAGCCGTTCTCTCAAATTAGTGGGGACAAAGTTTCCAATTTAGATTCCCCCATGTTAATCTTATGGGAGAAACTCCAACTTTGATGGCCTGTGGGGCAAAGCCCGAGGATTTTTATTAAAGGAATTGGTGAAAGGGGGCGTCTACACAAAAATTACTTTTTTTTGACACGTTGTTTGTAAAAATCCGTCCATTATTAACGGAGGAGTAGTGTTTCGTAGAAATCGCCTTCACGTATTATATATAAGGATAGATATTTCCATAAATAAGAAATATTTATTCCCAATTTAAATAACATTAGATTTAACGAGTGCTTAGGTTTGCTGCTACGGGGAAGGTAAACAATGTTTTTGACCAAACGTCAACAGTATAGGATAAAATAAATAAATTTTCCAAATTTGATCAAAATATATCCATAAACAAGTCAACTACAACAGTTTTTATTTTCTCCATAAAAATAACATGGGAATTTTAAATTTGCCCTTTTTTGAAATTTCTCCGTAATCCTTAGGCATACAACAATGCTTCAATATACTAAGTTATTTATTTGTTTAAGCTCTACAAAATGGTTAGGAAAGAAATTCCAAAATTTTATGTTTTTACGGTCTAAAATGGGAAAAACCCATTTTTACCCCATAAAACCCCCATAAACCCCCGTTCCCATGGTACGATCATGCTGGTTTGCGAACTCGTTCGAATAAATGTAGGTTTACACGTTTATACCAAATTTCATCAAAATCAGATAATGTTTGTTCAAGTTATCGTGCTACACACACATATATATATATATATATATATATATATATATATATATGTATATATATATAAATATATAAACATATAAATATATATATATATATATGAATTTGAACGGATGGTGTTTTTGGCCTTTGGGGACCTCACAACAAAAAAGTAAATCGGTCCTGGGTCCAGGTCTTACCATGAGACCTACGGTAATAGCTTATTCCCTATATGCGAAATTCGCTAAAAACTCCCTTCAAAAAACCAATGAATTCTCCCTGAAATTGGAATAAGTTAGGTTCTGCTATGCTCTTAAATTATATTTAAATTTATTACGAATTTTAATTGTAGCCTCTTGCATTTTATTTCAAAATGATTTAATATCAGATATATTTCCTATTTAAATATATCATTAATATTAATGAGTACCGGTACTTAGGTTTGCTGCTACAGGGAAGAAAATAGGGGGTTTATATTGAAATATTAATAGCTTAGTATGAAGTAAACAAAATTTCAAAATTTCATTAAGATATGTCCATAGACAAGCAAGCTACAACACTGTATTTATTCTCCATAAGAATAACATGGTAATTTTAAATTTACACTGTTTTGCGATTTTTCCGTAACCGTTAGGCATGCAACAATGCTTCAATATACTAAATTATTTGTTTTTTGGAGCTCTACAAAATGGTTTAGAAAGAAATTGCAAAATTTTATGTTTTCAGGGTGAAAAATTAGAAAAACCCATTTTTACCCCATAAAACCCCCCCATAAACCCCTGTTCCCATAGTCCGATCATGCTGGTTCGCGAACTCGTTCGAATAAATGTAGGTTTACTTGTTTATACCAAATTTCATCAAAATCGGATCATTTTTGCTCGAGTTATCGCGCTAACGGACACATATATAAATATATATATATATAAATATATATATATATAAATATATATATATATAAATATATAAATATATATATATATAAATATATATATATATATAAATATATAAATATATATATATATGAATTTGAACGGATGGTGTTTTTGGCCTCTGGGGACCTCAAAACGAAAAACTAAATCGGTCCCGGGTCCAGGTCTTACCATGAGACCTACGGTAATAGCTTATTCCCTATATGGGAAACTCGCTAAAAACTATGATTTTCTAAGAAATTTCCTTAATACCATTGAATACAGAGACAGACATGTGTGGTTCTGGTTACCTAAATGTCTAATTATGTACAAGTGGAGGTTATGTTTAATTAATTATGACATAGGCTACAAATAAATGCCAAGTAACCAATTTTGAATAGTGACAAAGTGATTTACCAAACAACACAATTTTAGTAAAACTATGTTTTGAGTTTCTAATACTTATATATAATATTTTTTGAAGTTATACATATACATATATATAAATCACATATAGGTTAAAGATATAACAACTTAAAGTAACATAATGATAAAACTTTGAACAAACCATGCTGACCACCTAGCAAACATATTTATAGTAAGCAATTGAGTAAAGTTAAATTATACACTATACCAATCTCTTAAAATGGTATGATTGAGAATAAGAAATAACTTATAAACCAACTTGCCAAAGTAAATAATTTAGTACTACATCTAGTAGCTTTGACTAGTAATTTGTATTTTAAGTACATGATAACATTCTTGAAGGAAAATCCTGTTGTTATGATTTCTTGCTCAACCTGCGAATTTCATCTCCCAGAGTATCAATGTTTTCCTAAAAATAGAAAGATACTTAAAATATTAAACCATACACGTAGAACTCATAGTACAAAATTATACTTACTTTAGAGTACATTTGAATAAAGGATGTGAAAGAAACTTAGAAGAATAGCTTTGGTGATAACAACTAACTATTATTGGTTAGTTTAACAAAGGGTGACAATTCTCTGGTAGGCCTACTGAAAACATGAATGACTCAACAACACTGTAAATGATTCAATTGATTAATTACAAATTTCCACAAACCTTTTTGCTAAAAAACCTAGGGGAAAATAAAATACTCCCGCCACAGCAAACCAGCAGACTAAGCGAATTTCAACTTGTCTGATTAAATTTTTACTAACATATTTCCATAAATAAGACATATTTATTCCCAATTTAAATAAAATTAGATTTAACAAGTGCTTAGGTTTGCTGCTACGGGGAAGATAAAACATGTTTTTTTTAAGATGTGTCAATAGCATAGGATGGAATAAATAAATTTGCCAAATTTTATCAACTTATATCCAAAAACAACTAAACTACAACAGTTTTCATTTTCTCCATAAGAATAACATGAGAATTTTAAATTTACACGTTTTTGAATTTTCTCTGTAACTATTAGGCATACAAAAGCGCTTCAATATACTAAATTATTTCTTTTTTTAAGCTCTACAAAACGGTTTAAAAAAAATTGCAAATTTTTTTGTTATTAAGGTCAAAAATTGGAAAACCCCATTAACCCCCGTTCCCATGGTCCGATTATGCTGGTTCCCGAACTCGTTCGAATAAACGTAGGTTTACACGTTTGTACCAAACTTGATAAAAATCGGATCAATTTTGCTCGAGTTAATGCGCTAACGGACACGCATATATATATATATCTATATAAGTAAAATTAGAGTTTGTTCTGTACATTGCTCAGAATGATATATTTTTAGGTTATTTTTACGTTTTATACATTAAAGAAGCAGAAACGAGTCTTATCTCTATTTCTGTCTGTCTGTCCGTAACACTCAAGATTGGCATTTTACACTATCTTCTCCAGGAAAACTAGAGTACCTATCAAGATCCAAGTCATTTTAATGTATTCACTGGATTGGCGAGAGTGTCTTTAGCCATTAAAAGATGGCCTCACTACTTTGTAAATAAAATTATGGACGTTCAAATATGCAGTTTTGTGCGATTTTTGTCAAGTTTTCTTCAAATTTTTATCACATAATCATCTATGAAATGACGAACAGCTGTTTGGATCAAGATTTTTTCTATCTGTCAACTGATATGTTTACAAATATTGTTTACAAATACCGCAACCATTTTCAATCATGTTTTGAAAGCAAATCACAACCAAGTTAGATTAAAGTGCAATAATATAGTGTAACCGTAAATGAAATTAAATAACTAGGCATCATATAGGTCAGAAACCAGAGATTCTTTGTGTATAAAATTGTTCTTGAGTTTTGATAACCAGAAAGAAGACCTTGAATCAGTGTTGTATAAGGCTGGGAAACTAAAATTTATTAATGATCGTCGCCAATAGCTTACAAACAAGGTTTCCACTCCTTGACGGCGCTTCAATAGTGGTTGTGTAAAGTGTAAAGTAAAAATCACAACTGCAGTGGGTGATTGTAACCAGTAACGTAACAGAGGTTTACAGATGATGCTAAACTCGCTTTTCCAATGTGTCACTTTCTGTTTCTACTCACCGTGTGATGCAATAGCTGGACCATACAGCCAATAGGTCCATAGCCCATCTCGTGGGTACGTATGCCTACCCAATTATTCATAACAACCTTTTTGACGACGATCCTTGATACCGGTACTTATCCATAGAATACATGGCCTACCTACTTCAGAAATAAAATTGCAAATGTCCAAATACCCAACATTGTGTGATTTTTGTCTCATTTCCTTCTAATGTTAATAGATACACCAATCATTGTTTAAAGAATACGTAATCTATTAAATAAAAAAAAGTGTTTGGATAAGGTTGTTTTTTTTTTTTTCAAACTGATAAGTTTACATTAAAAGTTGTTTACAAATAAAACAATTAATAGGAAATAACTTTGATTTCCAATAATTTTTTACGAGAAAATCCAAAACCAAGAGATTAATAACTTCGGGAATTGATTAATGCATTTAATTGGTCGGATGTACTGTAGTTCTTAACTGAAAAAGTTGGTTTTGGTACTAACTGGTTCTTTTCCTTAAGATTTATAAAAAAAGATTAGGACTCCAAGCTCAAGGGGAAGATGACAAATAACATATGTTTAATATTCATTTGTTTAAGTTGTGTTTGTAAATATTTACTTTTGGATTTAATAAATAGAGTTAATACAAAACTATAACATTTAGTTTAACGGTTGGTAGCTACAAGAATCATTTTTACGTACCAACATATCACTGTGATTTACAAATTAGTCATCGTTGGTGTTGCACCTTATTTATTACAACCGTATTCAATTTAATTGAAGTCTTAAATGTATAAGTTTTGCTTTTTCTGTCTGGATTTCAAAATCTTATTTTATGCTAAGAAAATTGTAACGCATTTGAGGAAAACATTAGTTGAGCAAAACCACCATGAATTGTTTACGCTTTACGTTGTTTATGTCTCAATAGTTCGTGGCCTATTTTGGTAATTTTGATTCTAAATTACCAATCTAAATCGTCTCATATCATATAGTAAGCAGTCATTTCGACAGCATTTCGGGTCATCTTCGGTCTAAGCAAATATAAATTGTTATGATAAAATTTGATGACATTAACAAAGATTTAAAATACTAATTTTATACGTACTTTGTTATGCTTAAAGGGTAGCAAATTACCTAATTTAAATTCTAATTAAATTTTTGTGAGCATGTATGTTGGTAACGCATTAATTGTTAAGTGTTTCATGTTTCATGGAAAGGGCAAGAGCACCTTTTGATAACGAAAATGTCAACCGGAATAAAGTGTTAAATAGTGAAAGTTGAGGTAGTACTTTAAATATTTTTAACCATTGTGGAAAATAACTTTCAATTATAGGCCTACCTTAGGGCTATGCCTCATGGATCTATAAAGCATTTTTTAGTTTAATCATTGGATTTAACATGGACCAACACGATCCGGGTGACATATAATTGCAAAGCATTTGTTTTGGCTTTAACTGTCAGATACTGTATTTGCGAAGGGTTATATATAATAGTTTTACCAGCATATCTGAAAATATGCAAACCAACTGCTGTTCTTATAAGAAGGTTTGAACTGAATACTATAAGATCCCGTGTGTAGAACGGGCACACCTAGCATATAAATAAATAAATATATATAAATATATGAATTTGAACGGATGGTGTTTTTGACCTCTGGGGACCTCAAAACGAAAAAGTAAATCGGTCCCGGGTCCAGGTCTTACCATGAGACCTACCGTAATAGCTTATTCCCTATATAGGAAATTCGCTAAAAAAGAAAAAAAAATAAGAAAAGTAGGGGAAATATTCTCAGCATTATATTTTCCCTATTACCAAAATAAGGGCAATCATTTTTTTAGCCTATTAATTTATTATCTATCTATTATATCTACTATTATAAAGAAGAGGTGGTGTCTGTCTTTCTGTGTGTTTGTATGAGCAAAAATCAAAAACTACTGAACCTTAAATTGGACAAAAATAAAGCGACAGCTCAATGATACATATAGAACTATTCCCACTTCCATATTGACCTAGGACTCTGCCAGCGCTCTTTCAAAGTTCTGAGGTGAGAGTCTTTAAAGAGAATATTGATTGGTCTCCATGGTAACAAAAAACAAAGAAAAAACCCAAAAATTAAAATAAAATGAATTTTGATTTCACAATTCCACACAGTTGATTCAAAAATATTAAATACTGCACGAATATTAGAACAGAAACGGTATGGATCATAAAGATAAATAAATGATCTCACTAACCCGAATGTAAACATTATTTAACATTACTAAAATGGAACTGTAAAACCATATGTTAATGTTAATGTAAATGTTCAGAATGATGAAGTTAAACCCTCAACTGTGTCTCAAACTTCAAAAGATGTGGATTTTCAAAAGTCGTATACGACAAAGTCTGGAAGAAAAGTGACATTCAAGAATCCAATTTCAGTTTGATGGAAATTGCCTTTGTCCTTGCTGTTATTCTTATTATTTTTTTTGTTATTTGTTTTTTGTGACTTTTCGGAACCCTCCAAAAACTCCATGGACTTCCAGTCTTCGCAGGGGGCTCCTGTAGTGATCTGACAGATCTATCAGCTCACAGATGTTTTTTTAAATAGTTTTATTGATTTTGGTTGCTAAGAAAAAAAAATAAACAAAGGGACATTCTTTTAGGCTTTTCCAACCATTAAGGTATTTCTCCTATTTAAATGAGGTTCTTTTCACTAAAAGTTTAGCTACACAGCTGCTTCAATTAAATCAACGACAATATTTTAAAACTGTTATTTTAAAACTAAACTGCTTGCAGTAGACTTTTGTTTCTCAATTCATTGAAAAAAGTGTTAATGTTATTTTTCTATAATGAATGGTAGAAGTGTAAATTTAAGGGTCTTTAATATTGGAATGGACAAAGTGACACTCATTTGCTAATTTTAGCAAGCTCTTTGTAAGTCATTTTTCGATAAAATATTTTCAAATTGTGTACGGTATTAATTAACAACAAGGATATATTTGTTCAGATATAGAGGGCAAATATTATAATTTTTTTTTCTTTCAGTGTAAATTATAAGAGCTTCAAGGAAAGTGGCCTTACTATAATCAAAGCATTGGGTTATTTGTACCTTTTTTTATGTGACAAATATCAATCAATGGCTTTTTATACAACACATTACCCTTAGCTTTAGGATTACTTTTACATAACATTGACTTATGAAAACTTGGTTTCAAAGTAAATACACTTATTATTAAGCGCATTTTTAAAACAAAAAATCATATAGGTCTAGATATAATATTTTCATGAGTGCATCGGCACCACTCTTACACCATCCTAGGTAGCCTAAATATGTGTTCACAGT